ATATATGCTCTGTAACTTTTGACATAGTCGTAGGACCAGGTTTACATTGCTACGCATCTGCACTAGGAGTCCTTGTTTTGTTTTGTTTTCTACAGAGGAAGTTACATTTTTCTGTCTGTATTTTTAATATTTTTATCACAATACTATTATATTTCTATTATTGTCGCTGTTATTAGCCAGAAAACAGATTGCAAAACAGCAGTATCCTGAACTTAGATCCAATTTCGTAAATTTTTATCTTGTACATATCGAAATCGAATCGAGCTGTGATTATTTTTTTAGACAAAATTGGTTGGGGAAATTTAACAAAGGGCTCTGTAAACACCAATAGTGAAAAGTGTATGAAGATTAAAAACTTAGGGCCACCTTTGCCCATTCTGAAATGGTCATTTAAAAAAAAATAATAAAAATAAGGATTGCAGATGTTATGCATTATTGTAGAGCTTTTAGTGTGACCCAACAAACCGTTTAGACTGGAGATTTTGCTGTCCAAGAGAATCGAGCCATTAGCACTGCTTGTTTTAATGCACTATACCACTAGGACACTACATTCTCCACATTGGTGCACCTTTTAATGGGATAGTTCACACACACAAAAAAGGAAAATGTGCTTAATGGAGTCCAAAACTTTGACTTCTGTTTGAACTGTTTTTTAAATATAATTTTGTATGTTTTGAATTTTTTAAAAATACAAGATTGTTTTGACTTTTTTTGTGTGAACTAAGCCTTTTAAGTCTAACTGTTTTGTAAGTGTTCCTTTCCTAAGTCACAAGACTTCTGAAATACACTTCATGCTAGTGTTGTCAAAAGTATCGACTTTAGTACCAGTTGGTACTGAAATTGTACAAATGTTCATTTCCTGCTATCATTTAAGTGCCATCAACAGCGATGATGAGTGGTGAACTGATGACCTTTATGGCTAGTCACATTCATTTGTGCTGAGCATGTTAACACAATGGCCAATCAGCGTTGTCTAAGCAACCACAGTTAAATTTTAGCGGGAAATTGACATTTTTAAAATTTCAGCACCAATTTGTACCGAACTCGATACTTTTGACCGCACTACTTCACACTAATTCTTAACAATATTTCTTCCCTCGTCTAAAAAAACATTCAAACTAGGCGATTTTGTAGCAAATAAAAGTAAACAAAGGGCGCCCATTCTTTTTGCACATTTACCATACAAATACATTTTATTTTTGGTAGATTTTTTTTTTTGCTTATTAAATCAGGAACTGATTTCAAAATAACAAATAAGGTAGTATCAACCTCATCATATCGATTACAAAAAAAGTTACTTTATAAAAGTTACTTTAATGTTTAATAAGTAAATGTATTTGTTTTTATAAACCAGGGCCTGATTGGAACATATTAATTTTAATATTAATGTTTCCATTTTATTCATTAACTTTTATTTATTGTCTTTGTTTAGTAAATCAGGACATGATTCGAAAGTAACTATGAGTAAAAAACAGTGTGTTTGTTTTGATTGCACGAATAAAATAAAATGGCAAATTAGAGGATTTTTTTTTTTTTTTGCTTCGTAACTCAAAAACAGAAATAAAAGTAACTGTAAATATTGGCTTGTTCATTTTTGTTTGCGCAATTACAATAAAAATGTTAATCAAAAATTTTTTTGCATGATAAATCTGGACTTGAGTTTAACGTAATAACTTTGTGAAGTTTAAGCATAGTTGAATTTAACAAATATTCTATGTGAATTTACTATGAAATAAAAATAGCTAATTTTGTCATTTGTTTTTGTTTCGTAAATCGAAGTTTGATTTAAAAGTAAATGGCGACGTGTCAATAGTTTGTGTGCAGAAAATTGTAGATTTTGTGCATATAAATCTAGAAACACAAATCAAATTTGCGATTTGACTTGTTTTAAAAGTTATGTTTTGATTGGGGTTTGTTTCAACTTTCGTTTTTTTTTTTTTTTAATTCGTAAATCAGAGACTGAATTCAAACTAATTAAGTGTAAATATAGGCCTGTCCAATTTTATTTGCGCAATTACAATAAAAAAATGTTTATCAACTTTTTTTTGCAATGTTAATCCAATCCTAAATTTAACGTAATCAAGTTACTATGAAATAAAATGCAAATTTAGTTTAGTATTTTTGTTTTGGCTTGATTTAAAAGCAGTTACGGACGTGTCAATAGTTTGTGTGCAGAAAATAATAGATTTTCTGCATATAAATCAAAAAACCAAGCTGAATTTGTGATTTGGCATGTTTTGAAAGTAACGTTTTGATTGGTGTTCGATTTAATTGCGCAATAAACAATAAAATATGAAATTGAATGATTTTTTTTTTGTAAATTAGAAAACTGAATTAAAAGTTACTATGTAAATATGAACAGGCTGTTTTTTTTGCGCAATTACACAAAAAAAATCTTTTTTTTCCTTTTCACATAATAAATTTGATCCTGGATTAAAACTAATCGTTCTATGTGAACTTACTATGAAATAAGATGCTAATCTTGTTGATTACCTTTGTTTCGTAAAATTGGGGCCTGATTTAAAAGTAAATATGTATATGTCAATAGTTTGTGTGCAGAAAATGATTGATTTTGTGCAAATAAATCAGAAAACGCAAATAGATTTTTGCGATTTGAACATGTATCCACTGTGCTATTCGTAAATCACACTTTTTTATGTTTATTATAATTATTTAATAAGCACCAATCATTATTTTTCCGGGTGTCAGAATGTGAAGCGCCTGGCAAGATTTTCACACCACCTAGATTCAGGGTAGTTTCTTCGTTATTTTGTTTGGTTGTTTGTATTGAACATGTTTATTTTTATTTCCAATCACATTTGCCTTTTGTATTCAAAAGCATCACTGTATTTTGACTGTTCTTTTCAGCAATTACCAATAGATCTCAACAGTTAATCGACAACAAAGAAAGAAAAAAAAAAGAAGCTTGCTGCGAAATGTAATGTGCAATACTTTTGTAGAACGATATGCATTGTCTTCACCTGTCTTTCAAAAAGTTGGTACTAGGAAGAGTGTGATTGCGTATGATTTTTATGTCCGAAACAATTGAAAAGGGGCCAATCGAAGCTACCGTTCTTGGTATGCTGAATTAACACCAAAAAACAAAACAAACAAAAAAAAAAAAAGCTCAATGCAGATCTACTTACTGTGACAATTTTTACTACTTTGTTTTGAATTAGAAAGCTTAACTATAAGGATTATGCCAATGTTTTGGTTTAAATGTATTGGATTTAATATTATACTCATTTTTTTGGCCAAGTAAAACAAAACTGTAGCCAATTTGAAAGGGAGTCGCTTGATTAATTTCAACGGCTTCTCTCTTGGTACCTTTTGGGATGCTTTATAAGTTGGATTTTAAAGTGTAAATGTTGAAAGAGGCACAATTTCTTTAGCAATACGGATCTGACATACAGTCTCGGGGTGTTTTAATAACAGAGACTGATTTCCTTTTAAAAACCCTTCCATTTTTTTGAAGAACAGCTAAAGGGGCAGTGTTTATACATGTGGGAGAGAACCTTTTACAAGTCATGATTAGAAATGTTTTATTTTTTTATTTCGAGGATATCTGTACGTACAAATAAAAAAGAAAGTGTATTGATAAAAGATTTTACAGTACCCAAAAAAAAAAGAAAAAAATGGAGAAAAAAAAGTTTTTATCTCTTAATAAACATTTATCTTTTAAAAAGCTTTCTGGGTTTGTGTCGTGTTTATTCGTTTTTTATTTATCATTTCAACGTTGATTGTTGTATTATTATTATTATTAGTGTTTGGTTCCGTTAGTCTAACATCCATTTATTAGTTCATCCATCAACTGATTTAACCAACCCATACATCATTCCATTCATCCATTTATCTGTAATCAATCTTCCATCCATCCATTTATTGAATTCCTCCATCCTTTTATCTATAGTCAATCTTCCATGCATCCATCCATGCATCCATTCATCCATCTATCTATTGAATACCTCCATCCATTTATTTAAAATCAATCTTCCATCCGTCCATCTATTTATTTAATTCCTCCATCCATTATGAATGCGAACTATGCTAAGTCTTTTTTTTTTTTCTGCACTGTTGCAACAATTTTTCTATGGTTTAAAAACTGGAGGAAGTAATTGATATATATATATATATATATATATATATATATATATATATATATATATATATATATATATATATATACATACATATATATATATTTCATTTCATTACAATGTTCATGTGAAAAGCATATTTAAAAACATCAGGCTATTTAGAATAGAGAATATAAATTAAAAATCCAGAATAAGTAAACAGAACGATCACATCTAGAAACACAATAATAAAAAGGAACAACAAAGCTAGTGATTAGAGTATTATTTATTTATTTGTTTTGTTTTTTTTAATGTATATTTTATTGTCTTATTATTCTCCAGGTGCGCCAGTTGCCCCACAGTACAAAGACGTGGGTACAGGTAAATAATAATAATTATTGTTATTATTTTTAATGTAGTGTATGAGTAGGTGTGTGAATAAGTGGAAGGGTATCCACCTTGTGAAACATAAGCTGGATAAGTTGTCAGTTCATTCCGCTCTAGCCATCCCTGATGAATAAAGGGACTAAACATTAGGAAAATAATGAATGAATTAACTTTTGTATTATTATTATTATTTATTTTTTACAGCAGCACACAAAATGAAACAACCCAATTTCTTATATATATATATATATATATATATATATATATATATATATATATATATATATATATATATATATATATATATATATATTACTTCCTCCAGTTTTTAAACCATAGAAATATTTTGGTTGCAACAGTGCAGAAAAAAAAAAGACTTAGCATAGTTCGAAATCATAACAAACTGTTCTTCTATGGTATTTCAAAAATTAGTCTCATTCCAGGAAAAACATGTACACGCACACTCACTTCGCACATTCGGTGTTTAATATTAAGTGATTTCTGTGTCTAAAGGCTAGAGAATCAGCAAGTCTGCTGAATCAACACTCCTGTGGCCTGAAAATGCTGCTAACACATGTAAATCAGTGTTTGAAAGACTGACGTTAGGAAGACTCGAGTTTCACATGTCACACACTGCAGGCGCCACACTGTATCATGGCCAAGTAGTGCAGAGTTAAGCCTGGTTAAAATGTACCTCACTTTCTCTCTTTTACATGAGTATATTAAACCCTCAGACACCTGCGGCCGTATTCACAAAACCTCCTAATGCTAAAAGTACCTTCTAACCTGCCGATTTAGAAGAAAATAATCAGTGGAATAAGAACTGAAAATCATTCTCAAGTAAAAAACCATTACTTACCAAAAGAAATAGTACAAGTAGAGAAAAAGATCTCTTGTAAATATTACTCAGTATGAGCAGCCTTTTAAAAAGCACTTAAGAGTATTACACTGTGGAAGGTTTATGTGTTTACATGCAGTTTGTCTGTGTGAAAACTTATTCTGTAGTGTTTTAGTTATTGTGTATGGCCAATTGCTGATTTCAGTCTACATTCAATCAGTGACATCAGTCTAAACCAGAGGTCACCAAACTTGTTCCTGGAGGGCCGGTGTCCTGCAGATTTTAGCTCCAACCCTAATCAAACACACCTGAACAAGCTCAAGCTCTTACTAGATATACTTGAAACACCCAGGCAGGTGTGTTGAGGCAAGTTAGAGCTCAAACCTGCAGGGACAGCGGCCCTCCTGGCCCGAGATTGGTGACCCCTGGTCTAAACAATCTTGATCTTGTTTTCGTACGATGCAATTTTTCTGCAGTTTGATTGGACGGGAATCACAGGACTGATTATATTACTTTATTTTTACCAAGTAATATAATTAAGTAATGACTGCAGGTCTGCAGAAGGAAAATAATGAAGTAAAAATACTCACTACTGAAAGTACAGCACGAAAAATGTAGTGAAAGTGAAAACTAGACATTTTAATGAGGTGCCGTGTAGGGTTTCAAGAGTTCACACTTAGCTGATGATTGATTATAAAAGCTTGTTTGGCATGCTGTCCCGGGAGAGAGCCCTGAGCTCATGAGATCCTCGAGCCCAGGGTTCCCTCCCGTTGCAAGGCGGGAGGGAAGTTTGAGCTCAGGTAGATCTCGAGAACTCCCCTGCTGTAGTAAACAATG